CAGCAACCTCCAACTCCTGGGCTCAAGCGAGTCTCCTGCCTCTGCCTCCCAAGTAGCTGGGACTATAGGCCCCCGCCACAATGCCCGGCTGTTTTTTGGTTGCAGCCATCATTGTTGTTTGGCGGGCCCAAGCTGGGGATTCAAACCCGCCACCTTAGGTGTATGTGGCTGGCGCCTTAGGGCCACATCCTTTCTGGCCACAGGCGCCGAGCCAGAAATGCAGATTCTTAGCTCTACTTCAGACCTACTGCATCAGAAACTCTGGGGGTTGGACCCAGCTATGCATGTTTTAACAACCCATCCACATGACTGCACACTAAGTTAAGGTTAAAAACTAACCATTGATGCTTGGCGATTCCACTTAAACCTCACCTGTCAATATAGCTTTGTCCTTTCCCCATTTGCTCTCACCTTATCTCTTTGTCTCTGAAACATCATTTGGTTTACTTCAATGGCTCCTAGTAACCAGATCTTTCAGATATTTGCAGGCATGTCTGGAATCATGTTAACATCCTAGTGATGGTACCTTGAGGGCTAATGCTGTGACACCTTTTTCTAGTTTTAATTAATTAAAATTCTTACCTGGCCACAGTTGACTTTGCTCAGACTCTGACCTGAAAGCCTGTCAGAAATGCTTTTGGCTTAAAGAGTGAGCAGCAGTATCTCTGTCTTTCTAAGTTCCTTCTCATCTGAAGGAGTATTTCTTGAGTTCCTTTTCCCAGCATTCAATTCACTGCTATCTTTGTATGGGAGGTGTCTGATATGGTACCCATTAATGGCTATCTTAGTGCCATCCTGGCTATAAAGAAATATAGGTGGCTTGCTTTCATTGATTTCATTTTATAGCCATCTTTACAAAGCCTAGTATGGCTGATGATGACTATTACTGCTATTGTAAGTTCATTAAAATGAACCATAGAGAAGGCTTGGTATCCAGAGTGCTCAAATTAGGTGTAACTACAGTTGCAGATTAGATTTTGGGTCAGAATGGATGCCCAGTACCGTCAGAACTGATTGGCATTTATATAACTTCACGTATATAGGCTCTTTTGACTCGTCCTAGATTTATTCTTCAATATATAATCTTTACTATGACTCACTCCTTTTCTGCCTTTGAATTGAACTTGGAATATAATCCTAAT